TTAGTACATGGGTTTTGTGATCAGAAATTGCAATTTATGTTTGAATCTTCTTGGAGAAGCTAAAAAGGTTCAAGCTTCCTCAAGAAGCTAAAAAAAAAAAAAAGTTCAAAAGGGTCAAGCTTCTTGGAGAAGCTAAAAAGGTTCAATCTTCCTCAAGAAGCTAAAAAAAAGGTTCAAGCTTCCTCAAGAAGCTAAAAAAAAGGTTCAAGAGGGTCAAGCTCCCTCAAGAAAAGGTCTCGGCTAGGAAATGTGGCCGATTGACCAGAAACAGTGGCCGGCCGACCAAACACAATGCCGACCGACCATAAATAGTGCCGACCGGCCATCACCAATGGCCGGTGGCAAGGAAACAAGGCCGGTGGCCTCAAGCCACGACTGGTGAGGTGTGGGGAAGGCCTACAAGCTACTTCCCACCCTCAGAAGCAAAACAACAAGTGTTTGGTGCAAAACCAGACACAAAACAGTCGAGTCGAGAGATCCTGAGGCAGGGCGCGTAGCCGAGACCTCCGGGAACTCAAGACGAACACGAACAAGGATGATTACCGAGTGTTCAAACGATGACGTCCAAGTCTTGAGGTCGGTCAAAAATTGGGTGTCTACAGGTAGGAAAAAATTAATGAGGATAGAAAATTTTGACAGACTTGATGGAATTTCAAAAGATTGTATGGGTCATAGTGGAGTAGAATGAAAGAAGGAAAAAAGAAAAAGAAAAAAAAAGAAGCGATGCAATCAAGGTTGAAGACCAATTTTTGATGTTGAAACACACATGATCAAGATTTAAGAAAATTGTTTAAGAAGCTGATTTTCTTTAGGTATTGTTTTTGGATTTTGGTCATGACGTAATTGAAAATTATTTCATGAGGGTTATTTCCAGTCTAATGACACGAATATCGGGACTTAAATTTACTCTTGAATAGTTTATTAACATGAATATTGACCCTTAATTGTACTCGTGAACGTTGTCAATCGATCAATCTGTCTTCTCCACCGACTTAAACTACGCTGAAATCTCGCTGCATCTGCCGAAAATGGATCAAGAAACCAAGAAAATTTTGAGGATTTTTTGAATTGTGGTGGTTGTTGAGAAAAAAGAACTTTCTGATCAATTGTAATTCTTGGGAAAAAAGACACAGATGTAGAGATTGTTACACAACTTTAGAGAGGGAGTGGCTTTTATCGTGAAAGTTAGGTTCATTTTTTCCATATTCTTGGCTTTTATCCTGAAAGGTTGGTTCATTTTTTCCATAGAAAGTTGGGGTATCAATGTGGAAAGTTTTGACATTTCCATTTCAATTGCATTTCCTGCACTAGTAACTCTCCATAGAAATGCAAACAATTCATAGACCCTAATCTTTACAGCTTTGGTATTGCCCTTTCAAATCCCACTTTCTTTGTTTGTACTTATGCTTATATGAATCTAAATTGAGTGTAAATAGAAGGGCAATTTTTTTTTGTTTTTTGTTTTTTTGTTTTTGGATAATTTCATGAAATGTGAGAGTTTTGGTGATTTGGAGAGTTATTGATTTGTTTGATTTGAACATTATGTGGAATTAGTACATGGGTTTTGTGATAAAAAATTGCAATTTATGTTTGAATGCTGATATGGGTTTTTCTACTCTAGGGTAATAAAATCAAGTGCTAGAGAAAAGGTGGATATGAAGTGTAATTTTCTAGTCTGAGGTAATACAATCTTAATTTTATTGACATTAACATTTCTACTTTCATTTCCTTCACTAGTACAATTCCATTTTAACTTCATTTCCTTCACTAGTAACTCTCTCTCTCTCTCTCTCTCTAAGTTAGGGGTATCAATGTGGAAAGTTTTGACAGTTCCATTTCAACTTCATTTCCTTAATTCTCTCTCTCTTTCTCTCTCTCTCTCTCTCTCTCTCTCCGTGAGAATGTGTGTGTATGTGTGTGTGTGTGTGTTCAACACTTCTTAAACTACAAGTTCTCCATTGCAGACTTTTGGGTGGTTTTTAATTAAGTTAGTATTACACTCCGACCACTTGCATTTTTTATAATTTAACTAAAGTCCTTTCACTGTCAATTGTGACAATTAATTTCCTTACATTTTAAGTGAAGTTACAATGGTCTGGAATGTTGGTTTATTATTTTTTTTTATGGAAACATGTGTAATGTGCAACAAAGAGCAACGCCCATACAAATACTCACGACTCAATTCAAGTCAAAGATGTCATAAAAGAAACGGGTAGGAAAAAATTAATGTGTATAGAAAATTTTGACAGACATGATGGCATTTCAAAAGAATGTCAAGGTCATAGTGGAGCTGAATGAAAGAAGGAAAAAAAGAAAAATGAAAAAAAAGAAGGGATGCAATCAAGGTTGAAGACCAATTTTTGATATTGAAACACACATGATCAAGATTTAAGAAAATTGTTTAAGAAGTTGAATTTCTTTAGGTATTGTTTTTGGATTTAGGTCACGACGTACTTGAAAATTATTTCATGAGTGTTATTTCCAGTCTATTGACACGAATATTGGGCCTTAATTTTACTCTTGAATAGTTTATTAACACGAATGCTGACCCTTACTTCTACTTGTGAATGGTGTCAATCTATTAATATGTCTTCTCCACCGACTTAAACTCCGGCGAAATCACGCCGCAGCTGCCGAAAATGGATCGATGAAACCAAGAAAATTTTGAGGATTTTTTGGATTGTGGTGGTTGTTGAGAAAAAAAGAACTTTCTGATCCATTGTAATTCTTGGGAAAAAAGACAGAGATGTAGAGATTGTTAGACAACTTTAGAGAGGGAGTGCTTTTTTCGTGAAAGGCAGGTGCATTTTTTCCATGTTCTTGGCTTTTATCCTGAAAGGTCGGTTCATTTTTTCCATATAAAGTTTGGGTATCAATGTGGAAAGTTTTGACATTTCCATTTCAACTTCATTTTTGTTTGTAGATCAGTTTGCATATTCCCTTAATTGGGTAACCCTTAGTTTTGCACTTAACGCACATACCAGTTGATCATGAACTAAGCAGTGATTCTTCATGCCAGCTTGCCAATATTTAGGACAAATTACAGTTACAATCATTGTAGTTTGCTTTTTGTGTCAATTTAGACCTTGTAGTTCCAATTGAATCAATGTTACCTTTGAATTTTTCACATTGTATCATTTTAGTCCAATTGATACCTATAGATTGAGAGGTTGATGTCCAATTTGAAATGGTTCTTTTCCTTTGGAATGGACAAACTTGCCCTTGAATTTTGTTTAATTTTTAACAGATGTTATCAATTGGACTAAATTAAAGGGCAAAATAAATCTAATTAGAATTATAGGGCCAAAATTAACATGAGACAAATTACAAGGACCACTAGTATGATTTGCCCCAATACTTATTACCAGTAAATTGGAGAAAGATATTGTCTTGAGTTTGATACTCCACTGCTAAATAAGTAGCACTCCATAAATTTTTTGTCCTGCCCTTGTTATGCTTTAAAACATGAATAATTGAATAATCAAAAGTTGATCAGCAATTTCAAATCATAAAAGTTTGATACGACTCCTGTAAGACTTGAGATAAAAACCCATAATCTTGTAAATTCAACACTAAATATTAGAAATAACAGAAAGTCACATGGTTAGGGCCTATCAATAGCCTCATTAGCAGTCCTCAACTGGTCATGGCTTGGGGGATTATATTGGTCGTTACTTCTTTTAGGTTCCTTACCCTTCCATTGAGGACTCTGCTTTCGCGTTCTCCAAAGTGAGAACTTCTCTAACATATCACTTATTGGGAATGCTTATGGTAAGTTTTTCTTTGGTTAAAACATCTTCAACTCATGAAATTTAAGTTACTTCGTCATCTTTTTCTATTAGCGATTTCATGGATATGTGTCTATTCATGCCAAGTGTATAAGTGGATAAAATGTTTGAATTCTTTTTATGCCATAATGCAAAACTTTTTACCCTAGATTCTGTTAGGCATCATTTGGTAATGCTTCTGTTTCCCATTTCTGTTTTCCTTTTCTTTTTGGGGGAACTAGAAAATAAAATTTGTTTTGTGTATTGTTTTTGTTTTAAAAAAAGTGGAATTAATTCAAAAAATTTTAAAAATTTTTGATACGAACAAAAAATGTTTTCACTTGTTTTCAAAACATGTTTTTTGTGCAAGTAATCATAATGAAGGAGATCTTGCATACTGGTATTGTCATTGTGATACTATCTATTGTATTTTTCTTCATGAGTTGGACATTTTTTTTTCTTTTTGTTTTTTTTTTTAAAAAAAAAAACTATTTTGGTGAATGTTTAACTTGGGTGAAAATGAAAATTCTTATGTTTAGTGAATCTTGTGTAATATTGTGGTCTGTATTTCAAGTAATAAAGGTTATTGTAATCTTTTGGTGTCTATTGCCTTGGAAATTTTCCAAAAAGAAAATTAAAAGGTACAACTCTCTTTTGTCTATCACAAGTTTCTAGCATAATATTTGCTTTCTTTGTGTTGCCAAATCAACCAATTTTAAGATTGGAGGCTGATCAAATTTATTTATTATCTGATGATTATTATTATATTAGTGCAATAAACTTTATCTTTCATGCTAATCTTTGCCAGTATGTTGAACTTCTGAAGTGAACAAAAATTTCATAATTGAGATCTAGTAAGATTTTTTTTTTTTTTTTCAATGGGTTGAGTCTGTAGGAAATATTGAAGGTTAGCGTCAACAAAAATATTTTTATCTAATGTTTTTTGCATTTTTTAGCGTTGGTATAATAAAAATAAAAAATCAACGAAAAATGTTTTTCCACAGTCAACGGAAAATAATAATATTTTCTACTATCAAAGGATGAAAAACGTTTTTCGAATTAAAGTCTTATCATTGCTATCATACTACCATTGCCACCACCACTAAACTGGTAAAAGTTCTACCAACAAATGATATTGTCAAAATAAACCAATCAAATATCACAATCAACTAAAGAAAAAAACCATAATAATAGACATAAATGCAAAAATAAAAGAATAAAAATTTAGAACACTCAAGTTGCTATTGACTGTCCTTCTACCAGATAATACCTTTGAGAGCATTTCCAATTTCCTTGAGATTTTCTGCTCAACCTGTTCACGTTAGCAAAGAACCCTAGCAAATCTTGCCTGTACGGCATCAACAACCGACTCCGATCTCCCTCCTGCGCCACCGTCACTTCTCCTCTGGCCACCATCGGCTTCACTTTTCCGGTGAATTTTACTTTTGTTGCTCTCTCGGAGGCCTTTTTGTTGTTGTTCTTCTTCAAATTGGCATTCGAAGAAGTGAGAAAGATGAAGGTGTCCTTGTCGTCGCTGTTGCTCTGATAGAGAAGATCGCGAAACTTCCACCGCTTTGATGATCCCGTCGAGCTGCTCTTCTTACATCTCTCTAGCAACACCGCCACCGCAGACGTATCAGATTTCAGTTTCCAGATGCAGTAGGTTCCTGTCGGAACTCCGTTGAGCTCGTCGGCTTCGGAGGAGAAGCATAACGGAGGATCGCGGTCCTCGGGAATCTGAATCAACGATGGAGTGGGAGGCTTAGAAGAATTCACTTCACCTTTACAATTTTCAACATCAGAAAACAACAAATCTTTGCCGAAAATAGGGAAAACAAGCTTGATCTGGCTGTTGTTGAAGATCTCATCGGTAGAGGTGAGGTCTTTACACACACAAAGGAACTCAAAATCATCATCATCATCATCATCGTCATCTTCGTAGCTCTTCATTTATTCTTCTTCTTGGACCCTTGGTTGTTCCTCGATCACCAATTGTAATTGTATTGGAGGATGTGACGTATTTCTTTTCTGGGGTTTGTACAGGTTCGTACTGGAGCTGCACAAGTTGAAGGTGGAGTTCATGGACTGGTTTCTTATGAAAAGAAGTCTTTTTGACATCCAGCTCCAGAGTGTGGCTGCTTGGTGGGTATAATTTGTTTGGTGCTCCACCATCTAAATTCACATTGTCAACATTCAAGTCATAACACTGAGGAGCTTGGTAATTTTTTGTCACTAGCTTTTGGCACTTGAGAGGCACTTGCACTTAAAAAGCTCACTAGGAAATGCATGTTGCAAATCCCTTGGATGATTCCAAATTAGTTGGTGTTTTCATCATGGGACTGGCAGCAGCAGGGGAATGGATTGTATTTTAAGCTATATTAATTATGACTTGCTTAATGCTAAAATGAAACTTTTTTTCATCAACTGTTTTGGGAATGTCTATGTTGATTAGATGTTCTTTCTTTGATCTATGCGTATCTCTATCTTGGCTTGTTTGTTTTCTGCTTTGGAGCTGATCCGATGTACTATAAATATTAGTTGAAGTTTGTTCTTATTTTTGGCCAATTTTTTTTGTTTTGTTTTGGTAACCCCTGACGTTAAATATTATCCTATGTTGGGCTTGGACTGGTAGAGTTAATTCTAAAAGTGCCAAGAGTTGAGAAGTTAAACCTGCGGTTGTTCTTAAATAATATGCCCAGTATTTGTTTGTCCCAACTGGACGCTTAAATTGATTTTAATGTGAATGGAATTTTTCAAACACTCTTTTGCACGAGCACAAAAAGTGGGCAAGGAAAGGAAGAGAATTATGGAAAGACGCTTGCAGAAGCCAAATTTAGATACAATTTAATGCCATCCAATTGTCCTAACATATTATAATGCAAATAATTTTTATTTTTATTCGATATGTTTTTAAATATGATTATGTACAACGGTTTTGTTGTGAATGGGGGGCATTCTGGACGACCACCATTTGCCTTGTAAACAACCAGCTTCCAGAATTGCATAACCAGAAGGATCGATGTGGCTCATCAATTATACCACTTTGATATTAAAACATATTATCATTCCAAGTGTTGGGACTCCGTAATTCCAACAATTTTTGTAAGTGATTGTCCCTCTCCAGAGAGTCCCACAAATCAAAAGAGGATTGTTCAGTGTATATTGGAAATTATTATATAGCTAAATGACACAAATTGCTCCAGCCTCCAGTGTAACTGTTATCTCCTACCCCCTCACTTGCTGGGGAACTGTGGAAAATTCAAGACAACATGGCCTGCCTACAGGGAACGTCAGTCAACGCAAGCACTTTTATTTGTATATGATTTATATATGTGACGAACATGAAAATGAGGGAAAAGAGATCAAGAATCTTTTAAAGATAATAATATATCACGGGATACTTGAGATTCGTAGAGGCCAATTGATTCATAAATGATTTTTTTCACAGCATTGATCATCTCATGTAAAGTGAATCTGTCATCCTTCATATAAAATAGACTCAACATTTTGACCATGTTCCAAAACTAATCCTTGCAGGCTCGTGGAACTAGGCTTCCCTTTTCCTACAAAACTAATCTCAACAGTTCTCTCCTTTGACTGACAATGGTACTCCTGATCTCTTTAATGGATTTTTCAGCAATAACAGTCCCACCACTGCCATCAACCATGTGCAGTGATACATCATTCAATTTACCTTCCTTGGATTCCCTCTGCAATACCATATACTTACTATTTAAGCAATCAACACACTTTAAAACCGGATTGTGAAACTGATTGTAACAATAAATGACAGCATATTATTAATACCTCAAAGCTGTTGATATCATTGAGAAGATGCCCAAAATTGCTCGTAAGCTTGTATAGATTTGCTATTCAGAACTGCAAACAATCTCCTTAGAGAGTACCAGACCCAACAAAATAAAGCAGGGAGGACAATTGGTCCGGAGGCCAATGATACAAAACCATTGGTCATATATGCATCCCTTGTTGGCACTGACTTGTCCCTAGCCCATTTAGCTTCTCTCAACATAGAATTGATCAAATTCAACTACTGCTAGACAAACATAGCTTATCATCGTTAGATTGAATAATAAAATAAGGTCCAATCGTCCCTCGAGCTCTGCTTTACATTCCATCTCAACACCCTAGTCAAGGTTGCTTCCACAAAAAGAAAAAACACAATGAAATATGATATGATTTCATTCTAGACAAAACTACTTCTGAACTTGTACTAAATCAAAGGTAAGACGAACCATAAACTATAAATTATGATACTCATGGAAAATAGAGAGAATATGTTTTGCACCTTTTCCGGTAATTGTAGTAATGGAAATAAGGGAAAAGTGAAAGAATCCCAACAGACGAGCACAATAGAATGTGAGATCATATAGATATGGAGGGCATGATCATATCATCAAATCCAAAATACCCCGTCCTAATATCCAAATTCATCCTTAAAATATGCCTGATTGTTGGATGCATATAAAACTAGAGAAAAGAATTTCTACAAAACAGCTACAAGGTTAGGCATAAATACATGTACAACACTGAAAAGCAAGTTAGACAAAAGAAAATAAAAAACAAAAAACAAAAATCTGATCCGATCAAATAGTTATCAATATTCGATAAACGTGATTTTTTTCAAGAATAAAATACTTAACGAGTTCTAAATATTGAACGGATCGGATTATCGAAAAAAGACCTATGGTGAGCCACATTGGCCCGAACAATATGGTCCAGTCTGTTCACCCCTTACCATTTCTCTTTCACTTTCTTTAAATTTTTTATTTTATTTTATATTATCTCTTACTTTTTTTAAGAAAATTTATTTTTCCAAATGTACTTATTCCCTATCAACTTCCAAAGTTGTTTGGTAGAGTTTAACTAAGTTGATTGTAATTTTTTTTATTATATAATTTTTACTTAGAATTTACTTATTTAGTGATTTTTTTTAAGTTTATTTTTGTCTTTAGTTAACTTTTCTTTTAATTTTTTAAAAAATTCAACACTTTTAAATTTTGCTCAACAAGACGCACTGTAAAATTAATTTTTTTAAAAAAAAATCCAAAAAAGATAATGGACTTTTGTTTGTGTGTGCTTATTTTGACTTTTTTAATTTCTTTTAGAACTTTTTAATTTTTTTCAAAAAAATTAGATTCATTTACACAACAAATTCGAAAAATAAAAGTTTTGACATAAATTTTAAAAAAATCACAAAAGTCTAAAAAACATTTAGAAAAGGAAGCCTTATTAAGCTCACCCTATAATTTAAATAAGTTTAGAAAAATTGATTTATTTGAAAGAAAAAGGATATATTTTTAACTTATACTTTTTAATTATCTATTTTTAACTTATAACAAATTATGCGAATACACTGATTGTGTTAATAACGTATATAGGATCTCTTTAAAATGAATACCCCAAAAGTCAAGACAGCAAGAGAGAAACAGTGCGTTAATTGCTACATTCCATAAAAAGGATTGTTCACGCAAAAGGCAAAGTTTGCAATAGAAATAGGGATCTACAAAATACATTTTCAAACGCCATTATAATACGGTGTCAAGGCTTGGAACCAACTTAAAACGATTAATTTTATGGAAATATAATCCAACGATTGTAGTTTACAGTGCATTTGTTGAAACCTATAAATAAATTCAAAAAAAACAAAATGGGGGAAATTGGATAATGATGTATCATAGGGAAATTGGTTCATAAATGATCTTTTTCACAACATTGATCAACTCATGTGAAGTGAATCCGTCATCCTTCATATAAAATAGACTCAACACTTTGAGCATCTTCCAAAACAAATCCTTGCAGGCTCGTGGAACTAGGCTTCCTTTTTCCTGCAAAACTAATCTCAGCAGTTCTCTCCTTTGACTGACAATGATACTCTTGATCTCTTTAATGGATTCTTCTGCAGTAACAGTCCCACCACGGCCATCAATCATGTACAGTGATACAACATTCAATTTACCTTCCTTGGATTCCCTCTGCAATACCATACACTTACCAATTAAGCAATCGACAAACTTGAAAAGCTGATTTGTGAAACTGATCATAACAATAAGAGACAGCACACTATTAATACCTCAAAGCTGTGGATATCATTCAGAAGACGCCCAAAAGTGCTCATAACCTTGTATAGATTTTGGTATTCAGAACTACAAACAACCTCCTCTGAGAGTACAGGCCCAACTAAATAAAGAGCTGGGAGGACAATTGGTCCCAAGGCAAACGATACGAAGCCATTGGTCATATATGCATCCCTTGTTGGCACCGACTTGTCACTAACCCATTTAGCTTCTCTCAACATAGAATTCATCAAACTCAACCACCGCCAAAAGATAACATAACTTATCATCTTTAGTTTGAATAATGAAATAAGGTCCAACCTCGCTTTACATTCTGTATTAACATCCCACTGAAGGTTGGTTCCACAAAAAGTGAATACAAAATGAAATATGATTTCATCCCACACTAAATTAAAGGTCAGATAAATCATAAACTATAAATTATGGTACACATGGAAATAGCCAATATATATTTTGCAACCTTTCCAACAATTGTAGGAATGAAAATAAGGGGAAAATGACAGCCAAACAATTCCAATGGACATGCAAAATCGAACGTGAGATAAAAAAGATAGGGAGTGCGGGATCATGTCATCAAATCCAAAATGCCCCTTCTAAATATCCAAATACAACCTTAAAGTATTGCCTGATTGTTGGATGCCTATAAAACTAGAGAAAGGAAGTTCTGCAAAACCTGCTACAAGGTTAGCAATGCATACTTGTACAACACAGAAAGCAAGTTAAACAAAACAAACAAAAAAACATGTCCATAAACAAGCATTGACTACAGAAGGTAGAGATGGTTGGTGCCCAATGCCCATATGAACTTTTTGAAAAGGTAGAGGAAACAAGAATTGAGGACGAGAAAATTTCATTTTAACTCCTATGGAACGAAGATGAGTAACTCCACCTGCTGGGGAGAGTTAAGGTTTCAAGTGTAAGGAATAAGGGCAAGGGAAAGACCAGAGTGTAAGCATGTAGCCACTAGCCACTAGCTACTCACACATTAAAGCACTTCAAGGACCTCAAAACAGCAATTTCAAAAACCAAACACATCGCAGTGCCAAATGGGGCTGTATGTCGTCACAATCATAGCAGAAGTTCAATACAACCAACTAATAAAAACATAACTAGAGTTATGAATCTATCTCACAATGTCAATTATGTGGCTTGTCACACTGCGACCCTGAATTGTGAAGGCCTTGGCTCCAATCTCAGATATTGTGCTTTGAAGTGCAGAAAATATGATCTGAACATGCTCAGAACAACAATCAACAGCAACATCGACATCCCATCTGTGATTCATAGCACACTATCACGTTTCTGCAGCAAAAACCCACTAAGAGAATCTACAGAAATAATGGACCAACAAATGCTCCAAACAAAAGAAGGGCGAAACAGAAACACACTTTTCAACCAACTGAATTAGGTTCTCTAATTCCTCTATAGAACCACCAACATCAAAGAAGTCATCAACCACTGTTGTGAGAATGCCATTTTTTGCCCATGATATGCGAGCATCAGATAGTTCAGGAGAGAAAAGGGAGGCTGCAGCAGAGAAGTAACAGTACGCAGTCTTTTGCCTGGCAAACTTTAGCTTGTCTAGTCTGTTCTCTACAACCCAACTGCTGACATGGAAAGCACACTACAATTCATTTACACATCTGATATTTCATATTAAAAAATGCTATCTACCATGAAGCTTTACCTTGAAAATTACCCTGAATATGAAATGTATGGTATAGATTTGAAGTTGGCGGAATGTGGGCCACACCGAAAATAAATGTGGTTAGACGTACTTTTCGGGTATGCAGTACTGTTGTTTTATATTCCCAAACAATTAAAGCATGAAACTAAATCCATGATTCCATGGACTCAACACTTTTGGCAAGACCAGTTACCAATTATTAATAACACACAATGCAAAGCCAATAATATTTCGTGGCTATATCAGTTTATGCACCTCTCAAGATATTTGAGTTCTTCACAGTGTATGGATTGGCAAATATTGAAATCTTCCACAGCCAGAGTTAGGAAATCTTCATTTCTAATATTTGAAGAGCTGGCATAAAAACAGTAAACAATCAAGAAGTAAACAAATATCAACTATCAGTGATTGTTAACAGCTGAGAGGAAAACAAGGGGGAAAATTTTAGTCTCCACCTTGAGATAAAAATAAAAAGGAAATACTACCAGAGATCTACCAATATGAAGTTTTTAGAATTCTTGTACTATCTGCATTGTAATGTTCTATGTATCTTCTGTTTGCTGCACGATCTAAATTTGCATGGAAGGGAAATTTAAGTGTGTCATCCACCTGAAAATGAAGAATCTTCACTATTTGACATGGGTTATATCAGGTAGACAAAACGTGACTGTTCAAATAAATATTTCAGATGGGCTTGACCATTTCCAAAGTATTACAAGAAGCTACCTCTTGGCTAACAAACTTATCAAGTCTATGTGCATGAATTGTACAATTGTATAATTTCTGTTTCAGGAAATGACTGGACCATGAGTGTTGTTTCTCCAGAGCTGACTCATCTGGAAATATAATGATCTGTGAAGCTCTGCATAACTCAAGGGCATCACCAATTTCCTTTTGATGTCCAGAGAGGAAACTAGATTCATGCTTTCCTTTGGTTATTTGTGTTAAGGGATCTACACATGTCAAAGGGGTTCAACTTTTAATAAGCAAAAGAAAATCATGAAATGACATTATGCCCTAGCATGCTAATCAACAAAGTACCTGAAGAGACGTCATACCCATTAAGACGCAGTATCCGAAATGCCATGGCACAAGTGGCAGTGTCCAGGAATATCTCTTCCTCCCCCTGCAGCCAGCAAACCAAACCAAACCAAACCAAGCCTTAAGTTCCATCAAATGGGGTTGGCTACATGAATCCTTCTTCTCCATGCGGCCCTATCAAAGACCATTTCATTAGTCAAATTAAGTAGATTCATATCTCTATTTATAACGCTAGTCAACGTTAATCTAGGCCTACCCCGTCCCCTAACACTTCCATCTATCGTTACAACATCGCATCTCTTCACTACTGCATCTGTTGGTTTCCGTTGAATAAGATCAAACCATCCAAATCGATTCTCTCTCAACTTATCTACTATCGATGCTACTTTTACCCATTCTTGAATACACTCATTCTTAATTTTGTTTTGTCTAGTCTTGCCACACATCCACCTTAGTATTCTCATTTTAGCTACACTCATTTTATCTACATGTTTTTTCTTGGTTGCCACACATCCGCCTTAGCATCCCCTCTCAACCAGACTAAATAATTCCTTACATTCTTCTTATTCTTCCCAAGTTGTTTGAAAGCTAGAAACGTTGGTTCTCTCTTTAAAATGTTTCTCTCTTTCTCTAGTTTATATCCCTCATTTCTTCATCTTTCCCTTTCATTTTTGTTTTATTATTCTTCTAAAATCTATGTGTATCATCCTCTTAACTCAAATAAAGTTAATCCAAAAATTAAAATATATGTCTATCATTCTCTACCATGACAACCACTATCATCCTTCATCTTCTCTTTATCACTATAGACATGTATAGATTATATATATAGGCATACCCAATTAACTAAGTCAAGACCCAAATTGTAGTGGTGGCTACCACCATGGATGCCGTGAAAGAGAAAGGTAATGGGTGTTGGTTGAGTGGAGGAGATGGGATAAGCTTGGTAGGTGTTTGCAACTATGGACTATTTGTTTGGGTCTAAATTCTAGAGAGAGATATGAGTATTTGTTTAGGTCTAAATTCTAGATTCTAGAGAGAAAGAGAGAGAGATAGGTCTAAATTCTACATAGAAAGAGAGATATGTATTTGATGGTGGTATGAGTGGTATGTGGTTTGCCATGGGATGAGAAAGAAATGAGAGAAGAAGAGAAAAAGAATACATAAATATTAAAGAAAAATGTGAGAGAATTTTTGGTTTGTGATGATATTAAGAAGAAAATTAGAGAAATAAATAAGGGTAATTTAGACTTTTTACAATTTCTATTACTTTGTCTGAAATTGCACTTTGATAAGAACTCTAGCAAGTTTAAGTGTTACAAATGAAATCATAGGGGGGTTTTGGATTTTTCAAATAAACCACAGGAAGTTAAAATGTGATTTATCCCCCTTTTTTTTTTTTTTTTGAAAAAGCATTCAAATTGAAACTTTAATCCCAATTCCAATTCTAATTCTAATCACCACTTCGCTAACCCATTTGCCCCATTTCCTTTCTCTCAATCCACCTATAGACACCCTATTTTTGACTGACCTTAAGACTTAGACGTCATCAGCTAAGCGCTCAATGATGTTGCATGTTGTGCTCGTTCTGAGGTTTCAGAGTCTCGGCTGCGAGCCTTGCCTCCGGACTTCGGAGCTCTTTTGTGCCTTGTCTCGATTTGCGAACCGGGTCCTGTTTTCTCCGTTTTCTCTTCCCGAAGGGAGGGAGAGGTCTCGTAGACCATCTCTCAGTGGCCGTAGGTTACGTTTCGTGGTCGTAGGCTTTTTTTTTCCC